GGGACAGCATCTGGATCTAGAAGGGTGGCTGGACCAGTGATAGCACAGCTGATGCCTTTGGTGGTTTCTGTGAACTGGTGGAAATTGGCAACAATATGGCAACAATATGCTTGAGTCCTCTCCTGTCCCTTCTGTCACCAAGGAGGGGGGGAAGCTTCCTAGAATGGGTAGTCTAGAGTCTGTCCATTTCTCAAAATTTCACTCATTCGAGGCCCAGGTCATCCAGCATCTCCTCTGTGAAACCTGCTTTAAATCCCCCCAGCTTGGACAAGTGGTTCCCTTTTATCTCATTCTGCCATTGGTTGGGCTTCCCAGGTGGCCCAGTGGTAAAGGACCCGCCTGCCAATGCAGGAGACATAAGAGACGTGGTTTGGACCCCTGGGTCAGGAAGATCCCCTGCAGGGCCCAGCAACCCATTCCGGTATTCTTGCCTGGGAAATCCCATGGACAGAGGAGCCTGCTGGGCTAGAGTCCTTGGGGTTGCAAAGAGTCAGACATGATTGCAGCGACTTAACAGGCTGGCAGGCCATGGGTTGTGCATAATTGTCCCATTAGACTTGAGCCTCCAGGGGCAGAGGTTAGATCTCCCACAATGCCCAGAACAGGGCTAACTCCTTGCTGGGGCGCAGCGTGTCCCTGAAATTGAATGAATGACTGAAAGAAGATGTGCTCTGGCACCCTGGGAGCCTCCTCCTTACCTGTTCCTGCTCGCTCCATCTGTTGAGCGGCCCATGGTTGGGGGTTGGGTACCGTGCATGTGGACCACACCTGATGACTCCCCCAGGACTGGGTGCTCACCAATCTTCGGGTATGTGAGGGGGGAGGGGCCAGAGTGCCTGTGTGTGTGTGTGTGTGTGTTTAGAGGAAAGGGGAGCTGCCTTCAAAGGTATGTGGACTCAGTCCCTAGGGCTTCTTTCCAAGCTCTGCTTCCTCTCAGTAGTAGAGGTTGTCACAGAGAACAGACAGAGTGGAGATGAAGAGGTGGACTAGAGAACTACCAGCTAGAGCTCAGTGAAAGGGTTTATGCTGGCCATCCACTTGGGGGACCACAGGGACAAAGTGTCGCCAGGAGAGTTCAGAGCTACTCTGTGCCTCCGCAGAGGGCCAGGAAGGCGGTCTGCTGCCAGCACCCCAAGTGGAGACATTATCCATAATCCTGGAGGGTGGCCAGTTCCACTACCCGGGGCACAAGCACCTGCTATGGAAAACAAGTCCCCACTGAACATTTTAGAAGGGCAGGCGGGCAGTAAACAAGGGAGCAAATAGCAAATACGTCAGGGTTTCCCAACCCTGGCTCTGCACTAGAGGGTTTTGCTTGCTTGTTTGTTTTTAACACTGAGCCCCTCATTCATTTCTAGAGATACTGTGGACCCCACTGTGGCCTTGGCAAGGGGGTCTGTTACAAATTTTCTGCAGGGTTGTATACGTTGTGCTAAGTTGTTTCAGTCGTGTCTGACTCTCTGCGACCCTATGGACTGTAGCCTGCCAAGGTCCTCTGTCCATGGGGTTCTCCAGGCAAGAATACTGGAGTGGAGTATTGCCATTTCCTCCTCTGGGGGATCTTCCAGACCCAGGGATAGAACCTAGTCTCTTATGTCTCTTACATTGGCGGGCAGGTTCTTTACCACTAGGGCCACCTGGGAAGCCCCTCCCCAGGGCTGAGAACTACAAAATAAGTGAGATGATTCAGATGGTTTATAAGGACCACCTAGCAGAACAATGTGTATGTAATAGAGAGTGACTGACTCAGAGACCAGGGATGGTCACTCCGGGAGGTAACATTCAGTTTGAGACTTGAAAGACAAGGCAGAGGTGTCCTGCAAGGATCTGGAGAAGAAGCTTTGCAGGCAGAGGACACAGAATGTGCAAAGGTCCTGAGGCTGGAATGAGTGTGGTGTGGCAAGTCCTAGGAGAAGCAAAAAAGCCTGTGTGGCTGGCATATAGTGAGCCAGCGGGGAGAGAAGCATTCAAGACTACATGAGCAATGTAAAGATGCTTTGAATTTTCTTCCCAGGGTGAAGGAAAGCCACTGACAGCTTTAAGCAGGCAATTGAGTGAGTAGAATTCTGAAACTCAGAGCTGCATGCATTTCATTTGCTCCTACCTACCCCCACTGGACTTCTCTCTCTGCCTAATCCTTTACCTGCATTTTCACAATAACTCCTGCAAGGAGCTAGTTAGATGTAGTTAGATATCTTCTCCGTTTTACAGCTGAGAAGGCACCAGTGTTGAGTGTCTCATCCATGTTCCCCGGGCTCTTGAACTGGATCCTCTGGTACCCGTCCCAGAGCTCTTGCCTAGAAATACTCCTGAGCATGAGGAGCTGCCTCAGTTGATACATTTGAGTTACACGCACTCCAACCCTGGCCATCAGGATGAGAAAGCTCAATCTTGGCTTTCCTTGAGTGAAGCAGATCGCCCCTAAATGGGTCTTCCTTTCAAAAGGTGCTGAGTCAGCCATCCCATCTCAAAGGCGGCCCAGCAGCTCCAGTATGACAACCTCGGTCTAGAAAATGATGATGCTTTGAACTAAAACAAAGAGGTGTTTTGCAGCATGAGTCTCACCCTGACTCACCTGGAATCCGCACTCCTTGTTGGCTGGACCTGGCCTGCCTGGTCCACATGGGACATGGGGCTGTCTCCCTAGAGCCTGGCTGCCAGCTCCTCATAATCTATTAGTTCCCCAAGGTCTGGCTGCAGACAGCTGGTGCTGGATCAGTGTTAGAGAAGCGTGTTTAATATTTAACGCTGGACTCATCTTCATGGCTACAGTATTTGGGGTTTTCTTGACACACTTCTTGGAACCCCTTGGGAACCCCATTTCCCACCCCAGGTTCCAGGGGAACGTGCGATGGATGGCTGGGGAAGTGGCAAGGAAGACCGAGAAAGGCCACCAAGGATCTTCAGCGTCCTTGTTGGGTGGGTCTGTTGAACTTTGGCTACAGATCTGGATGATCTGAGGTTGGCGAGCTTGATGCACTGTGTGGAAACTGGCCCCACCACCTAAGGATGGAAATAAGACTCCTACCCTCATCATGAGGCCCAAGGGCAGCAAAAACATTGCTTCTCTACAGTAGCCATGGAAACCTCCCATTGCTGTGGATGCCCTCCCCCCGCCACCAGAACGGCTTGTTCAGTGGCCTTGAGGGCCCCTCTGCCTCCTTGCTCCATTGCTCTAGGCCAAGCCTCGGGTTCCCAAAAAGAGCTGTAACTTGGCTCTCCAAGGTTCGCCCTGATTTTGGTGGGTACCAAGGGAAAGAGCCCCGGAGAGGAGAAAACAAAAGGATGGGGATAAAGATGGGAGGAGATGATGACAGTCAGCCGCGCTGATGAGAGCCGGGCGGGCTGGGGCAGGCCGTCAGCGTCACCGGGAATGCGATCAGGGCATTCAGGAGGCAGCACGCGCGTCTGGAGCCCCATCTGACTGGCATCATTCACTCCCCTTCCTGTTCTGTTCATCCTGGAAGGGGAGCCTTAATTAGGCACGAAGAGATTTATCAAACAGCAGCCCCCGTGGAGCGGGTAGTCTTTCGCCATCTGGGCGGACAGTTTCTGCCCTGTGACAAAGGCAGTGGGAATGATTCATGAGGTCCCACAGCTCCACCCCCTGGGCCTGGAAAAACCTGAAGGGCTCTTATCCTCTCCAAACCAGAGCGAGATTTCACCTGTGCCGCTGGGCACACAAGCGGCGGTTCACACCGAGGTTCTCCTGACTCTCTGACTGATGCCCAGACTCACGAGAGCCAGGACTGTGCCTCGGGTCGGTTTTCAGTTTTCAGTGACTCAGCGGCACTGATTAACAGAAAAATCCCTGAGGTGGGAACCAGAAGACCTGGATGCAGATTCTTTTGGTGACCTGTGTGGCTTCACATGGTTTTTGCCTCAGTCTTATGATCTACACAGTGGGGATAATGACTTCTGTATCTTCTCAACTCACTGATTCTTTGGAGGTTCCTGTGGCATCATATGAGGCAAAATGATTTTCTTAATTATATAGTCCTTGATAGGCATTGAGGATTTAATCCAACAAACATTTATTGAGCAATTGCTGTGTGCTACGCACCACCCCCGGTGCCGTGATGGACATAGATGAATAAAACACGGTCCCTGCCCTTGGCGAGCTTACAATCTAAGAACAGTCATAAGACAAGTGCACAATAACTATAATACAAGGCAGAATATGGTAAGTGCCGTGAGAAAGGTACAAATAAAGTGCTATGGTGGTTCAGCGGATGGAGAGATCCCAGTGGTTGGTCGATCAGGGGAGCTTCATGAAAGATGTGGTTTCTGCATGGGCCTTGAAGGAACCAGAAGAGAGTGTTCCAGGGGATGGGAAAAGCAAGACCAAAGGCACGGAGATAGGGAGACCGGGCGCCTCTTTGAGGAATGACGACCATTCTAGATGGACCAGCAGCAGGGTATAAAGGAAGGATGGGGCCTTCTTCGATGGCCTGTGACATCAGGACAAAGACTTGCACATGATTTTAAAAGTTTGTGAATGGCTGGAGATTAAAAAGATAAATCTCTATGAATGTTTAGGATAGACTGGAGAATGTGCAATCATGTCCAGAGGAGCCCTGCGAGACGAGACCGATGCTGAAATTGCCGGAGCAACCAGAAGGCAAGGATGGTGCAAGAGCAACAAGGGGATGCATGCAGAAGAAGCCAAGATGACTTCAGGGTTTCAGAACTGGGTGGAGAGACGGTGGAAGAAGAGGAGGCAGAGATGACAGGTTTGGCTTCAGAGAGACTGAGTTTCTGGCACCGCCAGAGCAGATGGGATGAATGATCAGTGAGCAGTGTACAGTCAAGCCTGGAGCTCGAAGGAGGTGCTGAGCTGCAGGAGGTGGAGGATGACTTCACAGCAAGGTGGGGGGTTGCCAAAAGAGCATGCAGGACTGTGATGAAAGGGGGCCCAAGGAGAGCACGCCACGGTGGGGGAGGTCTGAGTGTGGGCCAAGGAGGAGAGGGATACAAGTCAGGTCTACCGTGGCTACCCTCTAGATTAAGGTAAGGGCGTCAATAAATAAGTCATAAATACATAAATAAATAAATACATAAATAAACAATGAAGGGGCAATGGGAAAGGGGAGGAAAGTCATGAGAATGTGGCCTTCTGGGCATCCTGGGGACAGGGAACGTCCAGGAGTCAGTGTGGGGCTGAGCAATGCAGAGGGCTTGGTGATGAGAAGGGGCTTTTGACCTGAAGTCTCTGGTCGCAGGAGCAGGGAGGCTAAGAGGGGGTTGAGCGGGAAGGTGGTGCCAGCACCAGAGAGCCCCTCCCGGGCCTGGGGATGAAGGGGTGAGGACATGGGGGTCAGGACGGGCGGGTGCGTGCCTGTTGGTGGAGAGACAGCACAGAGGGCAGAGTGGCTGAGGACCAGCGATGGGATGAATGTTCCCTCAGAAATGGGAGGAAGGCAGTGAAAGGGGAGCAGAGAGGCCAAAAGATCTGGAGGAGACACTGCATTTCAGAGGGCTCCATCTCTGCGGCAAAGGAGCTGGCTAAGAGGGGCTCATCTGGGGGCTTGAGGAGAATGCAGAAGGGCTGAGAGGTGGGCGAGGACGAGGGGACTGGGGATGACTTGAGGGTCTGGGGGAGGTTGGCTGACTGTACCCGCTCCCGGAGGCCTGTGGCCACTGTCGTTACAAGGCAGCAGATCAGTGGTACCGGATACCAGATACCTGGGACTCCTTGGGGCTGCCCCAGGCTAGCCGGGCTGGGTCAGACACTACAGTGGACTCTCAGGCAAACTGAGCTCTAAGTAGCAGGAGAAGACGGCTGCCTCCTGATCGTGGTGCTCAGATGGAGAAGGGTGGTTGGGGAGGGGAAGCCAAGGCCTCGGAGCTCCTGCCATCACATGGCCAAAGTGTTTTGGCAGCACAGAGCCTGCAGATTGGGAGTGGGGACAGGTGGACTGTCTGGGGTCCCCAGCATTCTCTAGAGAGAGCCCAGAGGCAGACAGTCCCTGTCCCTTCAACTCTATTAGTTTCAGTTTAAGGAACCAAGACCAAGAAGCGACAGAAAGAAAGCCATGTTTTAAAAAGAGCTCTGGCCCCTTGACTCCCCTGCAGGGGGGGACACTGACGGGAACATGGATGCAGGGCTGACTACGGACCTGACATGAGGCTCCTCTCTGCACTCGCCACTGGAACCTGCTGGAACCCAAGGCCTTAGCTAATCCCCTGAGCCTGGAAATTCTGCCTGTTCCCCAGGATGCCAGAAGCTTCAACAAGGAAACGTCTTCCAGGGCCTCTGAGATCTTAAGGGTGAAAGGCCCGGGAGAAGTGCAAAATACGAGACATTAATTTCCACTTCTTGTGAGAAGTCCAAACCACTCTGCTCCCACAGAGGCTGTGAGGGCTGTTGCTTTTTAAAATATTCACTTTACAATGCAAATCCTGAATCTCAGACTTCAAGTGTTAACAAGAACAACAACAAGGGAGGTAACACAGAGGTGCGGATGTGGTTCGGAGCTGGAGTGTCCGCGTGTGGGGTTAAGAGGTTCCGAGCATCCTTCCACCGCCCCCACTGGCTTCCCATCAGGAATTAATTTCGAGCAAATGTCCTGCTCTGAATCATCATTGATTATGTCTGGCTTCCTAGGCTTGGAAGCGGATCTTGATCCCTTTTCTTAACTCCCTTCACCTTCAAGACAATGTTGGTGGTGGTGTTTTTTAAACTTATCTTTCTAATAGATTTTAAAACACTTATTTAAAACACATTCAGGCAAGAGAATGAAGCTAACAAATCAAGCTGGCTAATGCTCATCTACACATGACCTGTGATTCTAGCCTCAAGTTATCCGCATGGAGCCAAGGTTTCCCCAGGGAGATTATATCCAGTATTTGGATACTGCATTTGGATATTTTGATTTAAAAAAAAGTCTGAACTCTTCATCTTCATAGGGTTTGTGCCAAATTCTAAAATCACTGCCTCTGTGAAAACAGGGAGGTGGGGATGGACGTTGAACCCTCTCCCCGGAGAGCTGAAAACCTCAGTGTTGGAGCTCAGTGCTGGCCAGTGTGACCATCAGGATAAGAAAGCGACAAGAAAGTGACACTCACACAGCAGTCTAGCTGCAGCGACCCTGCAGCGTGCACGATGCGGAAGCAAACACAGTGGCCTCAGAGAAACGGAGCGTGGCGCTTACCGTTCTTCCTGGCCTCACATTCTGGGCCTCCCGGGGCACCCAGAAAGGTGATTTTAGAAGGATGACATTTATCTTTGCGGTGCCCTTTCAAGCTTTTGCAGTGGCTTCCCTGGTGGCCGAAGAGAACAGGACTGTCCCTGTAGTGACATTCTAACAGGGCAAGGAAGGAGGCTAACCCTGAGGATGAAACCCCAGGTTCCCTTCCTCCATGACGGACTCAAGTTGCTTTAAAGAACCACCACCACACTTGGGACCCTCGTTTGCCTTACTCTGGGCCAGAGCATCAACTCTCTTGGTAGGAAGTTGTGATTTTTCAAAAACACGCTTCGGAACACCCTAGCAATTGGGTGTCATCTGCCTGCTCTGTGCCGGGTTCCTGGGGGTTCTTGCAAAGCTGGAATATGACCTGTCCACCGTGTCTTCTCCAGCCTTCTCCCCAGATCTGTGCAGGCCAGTCCTGGACAGGCAGGTCAACCATGGTTCACCCTGTGGACAGTTCAACTCTAAGTTCACAGAAGCAAGGGCTCAGCTCTGACTTGGCCTCCGCTCCTTGGTGACCATGTGTTCCTTTGCTGGGCTGAGCATGCCAACCTCCCTCTGCTCTAAGAACAGCACCATGTTAGACATGGGTCCAGTTTTCCCCTCTGGGTCTTGGCTCACCTAGAATCCACATTTCTCAGAGGCTCAGGGCAGCTGTCTACAGGTGGCTCTCCGATCACCCATGAGCCCAAAGACCTCTCCATTCCGGGAGGCAGCGTGCCATCCCAAGTCGTGGGACTGGCTTCTTTTCAAGTCAAGTCCTTCTGCCTCCAAAGATGCACTGAGTCTCAATCTGGTCCAGGTGGGTTCTCCACACCTTCTTATTGTGGCTTATCTGCCTAATGCTAGATGAACACCACACAGTTATAAATACTCAGGTCAATATATATATGCAGGAATAGATATATATATTCTGGTCACTGTTTTACACTTGAACAAAGAAAACCACTAGCCTGCTTGTTCTAGAGTTTGTGCTGCCCCGACTCCCATCTGCCTGTGGTGTAGCTGGCAGGAAACGTGAGCCACCGAGTCCCACCGGGCGCCCAGCTTACGTGGCCCCGTCGCACTGGCCGACAGTCAGTTTCAAAGCCCCCTGCTCGTGGAGGCTCTTCAGGGCCTTGAACTCCAGGGGCATGGTGTGGGGGCTGGCCTGGGAGGTGTAGCCATACTTGAGGCTGTCGTAATAGTGGTACTTGACAGGATTCTGGTTCTGATCTAGCGGAAAGGGCCAGAAGCCATAGAGGTAGATCTGGTTGCAGAAACGCGTGGCCAGGGTGTACATCAAGAGCCCCGTGGTGGGTCTTTTGATATGAACTTTGTTAGTCAGCCAGTATCTGGAGAAAAAAAGTGGAAAAAAAAGAAATGCACAAAAATAAAATGAGTTTATGAATTATCCTTTCCAGGAAGGGGGGGGGGGATTTTTATCTTGCTTCACAGCCTGCCTCTTGCCACTCCAGGAACTGCAGATACCAATCGAGTGACCGATTCCAAGGTCCTTTCACAGAGGACTGACAGTCACCATTTTAATTATTTTAATTGGAGGATAATTAGAACATTGTGGTGGTTTTTGCCATACATCAACATGAATCAGCCACAAGTATACATGTGTTCCCCCCATTCTGAAACCCCCTCCCTCCCCATCCCATCCTTCTGGGTTTGGGTGCCCTGCTTCATGCATCGAACTTGCACTGGTCCTTTCTTTCCCATATGGTAATATACATGTTTCAGTGCTATTCTCTCAAACCATCCCACCCTCTCCTCCTCCCACAGAGTCCAAAAGTCTGTTCTCTACATCTGTGTCTTCTTTGCTGCCCTGCATGTAGGATTGTTGGTACCATCTTTCTAAATGCCATATATATGTGTTAATATACAGTATTTGTCTTTCTCTTTCAGACTTACTTCACTCTGTATGATAGGCTCTAGGTTCATCCACCTCATTAGAACTGACTCAAACGCATTCTTTTTTAGAGCTGAGTAATATCCCATCATGTAAAATGTACCACAACTTCCTTATCCATCCATCTGCCGATGGACCTCTAGGTTGCTTCCATGTCCTAGCTATTGTAAATAGTGACAGCCATCATTTATCAAGTACTGGAAATGCCCTTAGGCTCTGTGCTTTCATATATGTGATTGGATGTCAAGAACACAAGCCTGTGAATACATGCAGATGCAGACACAAGGTTGAGAGATGGAAGTGGCTTGCCCAAGGTCACCGAGGTAGAAAGGAAAGGACCTTGCCTCGAGCTCAGCGCATAGCAGTGCGTGTGTGCTCAGGCATGTCCGACTCTTTGCGACCCCATGGACTGTAGCCCGCCAGGCTCCTCTGTCCGTGGGACTTTCCAGGCAAGAATCCTGGAGTGGGTTGCCGTTTCCTTCTTCAGGGCACAGTCCCGACCCAGGGACTGAACCTGAGTCTCTTGTGTCTCCTTCATTGGCGGCCGGATTGTCTACCACTGAGCCACCAGGGAAGCCCAGGCCTGTTGAAATCTAAAGCAGGGGCTGGCAAACCTTCTCCGTAAAGGGCCAGGTGGTGGCCACACTCCTGGCCTCTGCCGTCATGGTGCTAAAAAGAGCCACAGACCACACATGCGGGTGTGGCCGATCTTGGTGCTCTGGCCAACTCAGATAAGGGGCCACCTCTTGCGAGATGCTCACCGCCTAGCGCCATGCCTGGCTTTGGCAGGGGTTGACCTCCTTGCCTCCTAAGCATCATCAGGTTTCCTTCCCATCCCTACCCACAGGCCCCTCGACCCTCTGATGCGGGCTGCCCATCTCTGAGCACATGTGGCTTCCCTGGAGGGCTGGAGGCCACAGGTAGGGAGCGGCAAACAGTGGCCTGCCCTATGCAGCTGGGTCCTGCAATGGAGTCTGCCAGAAGTGTTATAGGAGACAGGGGCGGGGTGGAGAAGAGTGCTTGTTGTTGTCTAGTCGCTAAGTCATGCCCAACTCTTTGCAACCCCATGGACTGTAGCCCGCCAGGCTCCTCTGTCCATGGGATTTTTCAGGCAAGAATACCGGGGTGGGTTGCCATTTGCTTCTCCAGGGGATCTTCCTGACCCAGGGTTGAACCCACGTCTCCTGTATGGGGAAGAGTGGAGCCTTAGGCTAAGGCTTCCTGTGAGTGAGGCAGTGTGCTCCCTCCGTGCACAGAGTGCCTCAGTTTACCTGCACAAGAACAGTAAAGAAGAAATCACCTCCATTTCACCAACTAAGAGACAGAGGTTGAAAGGGAGCATCAGTGATAGTTCTGTCGACAGCCACCTGTGTGCCCTTGAGCAAGTTGCTTCTCCCTGCTGAACCCACTTTTCTCGTTTATACGATGACGGGGCACAGACCAAGGGATCACCAAGACAGCCTCCAGGGGTTCCCAGGTGGCTCGGTGGTAAAGAACCCACCTGCCAAAGCAGGAGACGCAGGTTCAACCCCTGGGTTGGGAAGATGCCCTGGAGGAGGGAATGGCAACTCACTCCAGTGTTCTTGCTAGAGAATCCCATGGACAGAGGAGCCTGGTGGGCTACAGTCCATGGGGTCACAAAGATTCAGACATGACTGAGCGACTAAACAACAACAACAAAGACAGCCTCCAAGTTCCATATAATCCAGAAGTGGGAAAACAGCCACTCTCGTTGTCATCACTTTTGTTTCCCATCATGGTTTTTCTCCTGCTTGGATTTAGAATGAGAGTGTGGTCCAACCTCTTTATCTCTAGGAAAACCTTCCACTTACCCTATGCTGAGCCCCTTTATTTTTTTTGATTTAAAAAAAATTTTGACCCCATCACATGGCATGCCAGATCTTCCTTGATCAGGTACCAAACCCATGCCCCCTGTGCTGTGTGTGGAGTCTTAATTATTGGATGGTCAGGGATGTCCTGAAGCCCTGTAAGTGTAATGTGCATGCTCAATGGCACTGAGCCGAGCTTGGGGGGACCCTGTGACAGGGAGACAGGGAGAGTGCAAGGAGGAGAGGGATCCACAAGAGCAGCAGCTGGTCCCTGCTAAGTGCTTATCTACGTCGGCTTAACCACCTCTAGCAACGGGGAGCTCATCCCTTCCTGAGCTAGTCCATTGCACTTTCAGCTTTAACTCAATGCTTCTTACCCTAGGCTGCCCACTGGAATCACCTGCAGCTTTAAGAGGACCGAAGCCTGGCTCCCACCATCCAGGTGCAGCCTGGACACTGAGATTTTTAAGACCTCCCCCAGTAATTCAACTGTACAGCCAAGGCTAAGAAGCCCTGCTCAAACTGGGAGGCAGTTCTGCTACAAGAACCTAAGAAGGAGATTTACTTAGAGAAAAGAGAGGGGTAAAAGTAAGCACGAGGCATAGTCAGAGTTTTAAAGATAACTGGGCCTGGAGAACTCACCCAGCTTAACAACCTGGCAAGGGGATATAACAGAGTGAGCTGGGACATGTGTGGAGGGAAAACTGACACTGGCCTCTGTGTTGCCAAGGCAACAGGGAGCAGCATGGCCTGTGGCATGTAATAGGGTACCCGGTTTTACGGTTGTCCTGTGTGGTGTCAAATTTTCTAATTTTTTCAAAGCTATCCGAAATCTGGATTTTCAAGCAAATTATCCAAATTTTTAAATGCTGGCAACTGATTTAAAACATTAAAAAAAAAAATCACGTGGGTTCCTCTTGAGTGAGTTAATAGACCACATCTGTGAGTAATCCACGGGTCTCCTGGATCAAACTCGTTTTCGCCTCTCAGCAAGAGGGAGAAATGAGAATCCAGGGTGACCCACCTGAGAAGAGGCAAACTTCTCACGCAGCTGGTCACATAGAGCTCGGATAAGTGCAGCTTCCCCACTCCTGTTTCCTGGGCTGTTTGCGCGCCATGGTGATTCTGCGGGGGAGGGTGTCAGGGCTGAGATGAGCTGGCTGCAGCCGCTGTTGACGCTATCCAGAGACACACGAGCCATGGGCTGTGTCCCCACATGGGAGCATCTCACAGATTGCTCACTTTCTGAGATATTCAAGCCTAACAACAGCCACATGCCATATTCGGGATTTGCAGTTTGTTTATTTTCTGATCGCAAGGCTTTAGCAGGGTAAGACCTTTAGAAATTACTTTTTTTTTTTTTCTGGCTATCGATGCACTGCCCAGAGAGGGGCTGGGAAGAATGAAATCAGTGGGGAAACATCCAGGTAGCTCCTAGGTGGGTCTGAGGTTACCCAGACCTGTGCTATGCCCTCCTCATAGATACGCCTGTCCCCTATGTGTCCTCCGGGTGAACTCTCCCCCAACCCCCGCCGCCCCCAGACTAAGCTCATGAATAACGTCTTCCTGGAAACGCTCCCTTTGTTCCCCTCTCTTCTCCTCTGCTCAAACTGAGTTAGTCATTCCCCTGTTATTACCATGCGTTTTGTTCCCATGTTTCCTGTGTTTCTCAACCGGGGCTGATCCTTCATGACTGTCTGGGTTGGGCTTCCACTTGAAACTACACTGTGATCTCCCCAGGAATGGGGGCCATGCCTCACCCTCCTTTGTGGGGCCATCTGAGGCCCCTGGCTCGGTGTGTGCTGCAGGCAAGGCACTGTGGCAGAGACAGCATCACTCGACCAGCCTTCCCTGGGCTCGCCTACATCTCTCAGCATCCCTTGTCAAGGAGCTGGGGCCACGTGACCAGTTCTGGCCAATAGGCTGCAGCCGGAGATGGCCCCTGCTGGACTAATGGTTCCTCCAGTGCTTTTTTTCCTGCCTTGGAGAACCTCAGTGACTCCTGGAAAGATGTCAGCCTAAGATAGAAGAATCCTAAGTCCTTGAATCGCTGGTTGGAAGAGAGCCCCCGCCAACCTGCATCACACTTTGCGAGGATGAGAAACTTTTGTTGTGTGAAACCACAAGGGCTGCGGGGATTGTTACTGTAGCATAAACTAGAACTGATTATCCTGGCTTCCACGGCGCTCAGCAAGTGTTGGACTTAAATGGAATTGAAAAAGGGGAAGTGGTAGAAAAGGAAGGGGCAGCTAGCAGTGCACGCAGCTTTGTGAGTTTGATCGGCTGGGACAGGAAGAGAAAGCCCCAGCCTCTCAGATCTGCTGCCCAGGATCACTCAGGGAAAGGTATTAGGAGCAGGAGAGGCTCCAGGGTGAACTGAGTGCAGAGGCAGGAGGGACCCTCTCGATTCCGACTCTGCCTGTCTGGGTAAACAAGAACTCCTGAGCGAGGTCTGACAGGGACATGGGGCCGCCGTCTAATGAGCAGCTTGTTCTAGAAGCCAGCAGGGTGATGCAGGAACAAATCACTCTCCATTTCCTTTATCTCTCCTCAGCCACCCTGGCCAATTTAGAGACGGTGTGCGTGGCCGACTTGCAGACGATTTCTT